TTGACATTTCTGAAACGCTGAACAAACTGAATGCTGTTCATCCAAACATACAATTTACAGTTGAAGAAGAACAAGATGAAAAGATGGCGTTTTTAGATACATGCATCGTAAAATCAGCCTCAGGCTTCAAATTCAAAGTCCACAGAAAACCGACAAACAAAGAGGATTATGTGCACTTTTACTCAGCACACAGTCAAAGGACGAAAAGCGGAATAGTTATCGGTTTCTTTCTCAGAGCGCTAAGAATCTGCAGCGATGAATTCATTCAGGAAGAGTTCAATCATATTTATACTTCGTTCGAAAAACTGAAATATCCCAGAGGATTTTTAATCAAACAAAAAGAAAAAGCCGAAAAAATCAAAAATCGAAGAAACGAACAAAACAGAAGATACGAACAAGAAACGAACCAAGCGCAAAACGATGACACCAACAGAAGACTCGAACAACGTACGAACCAAGCACACGAAGATGAGACCGACAGAAGACAGGAACGACGCGCGAACCAAGCAAACGGCGACGATGCCAACAGAAGAGACGAACAACGTGCGAACAAAGCACACGAAGATGACACGAGAAGAAAGGCCAACAAAAGAAAGAGATGGATTTCGGTCCCAAATTCGAAAAATATTGATATCATAGTAAGAGCACTTGAAAAGTCAGATATCAAAGTAGCTACAGTAACAGGAAAGAAAACTCAAGATTTAGTCAAGCACCATGAAACCAAAAAAGATACCAGTGATGAAAAAAGTGTAGTTTACGAAATACCATGCAAAGGGTGCCAAAGAACGTACGTTGGGGAGACGGGAAGAGGGGTGGAAGTTCGTTTGAAGGAGCACAGAAGCGATGTAAAATTTCACCGAACATCAAATGCAATAGTACTGCATATAGAAAAGTATAACCACTTACCTGACTGGGACGGTACGAAGATATTAGAAAACAATATAAAGAAAGGTACAAGGAAGGTCCTGGAAGCAGCCCACATCATCACACGTGATACGTTTAACAGTAGGAGCGGATTCATCACATGGTCGTCAATGGCAGCAAAATCGGTGGTAGACCAGCAGAAGAAGAAAACACGCGGCTGATTAATTTCAAAGAATTTTTAGACGGTTACAGCGATTGTTATACTCATTTGCACAGTGATCAAGGTTCCATGAACCGAAAGCTTTGTGTGTCTTTTTGAATATATTTGAATGCATTTGTAATAGTTTGGTTTATTATTTACATCATCATCCATAGGTACCATTCGCACACCGTTCCGTGCTTCTATCCTCAGGATACTGAAATCCTTCTCCTCCACGCCGCAACCCCACTCCGGGCTGGACAGGCAACTTTATCTCATGCGGGCTGCTCCCTTGGAGCGGCACCGCTGCTCCCGAGGGAGCGCACCCCGTAGCCGGGTGCAGTGAGTGCCTTGGGGCTGGGTGGACTGTCCTCTGGACGGGCTCAGCCCCGGCGACTCACTAGGGTGCCTGCCCAGACCAATGTCTCCCTCTAAATCCTATCATCCTCCCGGCTCTGAAATGGTCTAATTGGACCGAAAGGGCCTAACCCAACAAAACAAAACAAAAACAAACAAACAAAGGTACCATTCGGAAGCTGACGGTGAGCTGATTCCAAAAATGTATTTTTTAAGGAAAAATCGTTCGGTGGCCTTTTAAAAACTTGCGTTTTTGTAAAAACGCTCGTGTCGCTGAACGCAAAAGAACAGAATGTAGCGAAAAAAATATTCTCAAATATTAAAGGGACCCTCCCACCTTAACATTAGATTTGAGTTGAGATAGCCAAAATGGGGTCCCTGGCTCACAATTACCGGTTTCGGCACTCACAACATCGAGAAATGCCTTAAATCGGAAATATTGAATTTCAAAATTGCAGCATTTTGATTCAGAGGGGCTAATGCATAGGAATACCCCCCTGAATGTGTGACGTCAGCGCAGATATCTAACGATTTTTAAATGTTTGACTAAAACGTTTTGTAGCACGCGGTGGTATATGCTGCTTTGCGCGCAACAAGTGCCGCACTTTCAGCTGCCAAACTATTGCTTCCAAATAAAGTCGCTAGGAACAGCGGAGATCCCAAAAAGTAAACAAAAGTAAAAGTCTAATATCTTGAAAACCGGTGAATATTTTTCGGTGAAATTTGATAGATATTCGTTTTTGCTCTTTCTGAACCGAGCGACATCACTTTCATGCCAATTCATAAACTTTTTTGAAGGTGGGAGGGTCCCTTTAATATGCGTCTCCCACAACCGACGAAAAGGCGCAATCACACAGCTCAGTCTTCCTATGGACCAAAGTCAGACACACTCAGAAGCGTGTCCGTGTGCCATGTAATGACCATTAACGGCTCGCAGACCCGGCACTCTCGGCCCGCCCGACCGCCCATGCGGAAGGAATGTTCGACTCTCGTTACACTAAACAAGTGCCATATTTGTTAGGTTAACACGCGCACTGCAGCGGGTCTGAGCCGAACACGAACTGCAGGGGGGGGGGGTTGAAAACAACCCCCCCCCCTGAGATCTCGAAAACGGCGCAACGTAGCGACAAGCGGTAAACGGCGTTGGATAGGTTGAGATGAGATCTACAAGAAATACAAAGATCATTTTTGGGTCAGGTCAAAAACGAGGTCACCAGAGGTCACCGAAGACAAAATGTTACGATTTTCACAACAGGAATTTCGCGGTAGTTTTTCTTGAATAACTTGTCTTGCACACAAGACAGAGGATCGATTCGAACGCCATCGTTCTTAGCTCGTCAAGGCGCATCGAATGATATATAATATGACCTCGAAAGGTCAAGTTGAAAATTTGACCTCAGGTCAAGGTCATGACCTGACCGAAATAGGTCATGTTGCATATCATTCGATCCGCATTGACGAGAAAAACACGATAAACGTCGAACGGAGTCTCTATCTCTATCCAATCTCAAGTTATTGAAGAAAAACCGCTGGTGACCTCAGGTGACCTAAGATGACCTGGAGATCACCTTCCAAAGGTCATAAGTGATATGTTTCGGTGAAATCACCAACAGGGACCTGTAATACTATGATCCTGAGCGTATTGAAGTCATAGGATGGCATTCAGAGTAAGTTAAAATTTCTCCCATTGACTTATAATGGGCCGGTCGCAAAAATGACCTGACCTTAGGTCATCGATATAAAAATTCCGAGATAAACAAGTTGTAGCTCGTGATGACTTTACTATTTCCTGTGGGTTTCAAGATCATATCTCAACAACTGTGGGCTTGGTGGGATTGCAAACTTCGAAATTTACGTTTCGAGGTAAGGTCACTTGACCTGACCTGGTGACCTGACCATAGGTCACCTGGGGTCAAAATTTTTACTCAAGGTGTGCAAAAGTTGGGAGAACAGGTATGCAAAATTTGGCGGCGCTACGCGCCGCCGTTTTCTCGCGATTTGCGAAAAACCACAGGGGGGGTTGAAAACAACCCCCCCCCCTGCAGTGCGCGTGTTAACTGTCCACACCACTATGAAAGTTATTCACGATACCTGTGAAGAAAATTATAATAATGCCCTTTTGCGCGGCGCTGTATGCTCTATTGGTTTCCGAGTTATGCGATGGCTTCTTCACAATTGTCGATCTTCGACCTGGAATGCGACGAGCTTTTGCCTTCAATGACCTCTGGTGACCTCACCTTTGACCTGACAAAACATGACTGGAGTAATTTCGTCATTATTTGTTACGCTCTTTCAAACACCGCCTTCCGCGTATCGCTACGTGGCCCAAGAGCCGAGTAGTAGAGGGGGGAGGTGTTCAACCCCCCCCCCCCCCCCAGCACTGGAAATCAAGGACCCCCAGCGGGGCGAGGGTAAAACTTAACCCTCGCCCTGGCAGGGCATTTTTCATAACACGGCCTGGCAGGGGGGGGGGGGGTCGATGCGACCCCCCCCCCCTCGCGATTGGCTCCTATGGCACCTAGAAACACCGAATTTGGTAGGTAGGTGGGCCCCCTGGAGTTCTCGCCCCTGTGCAAATTTGGTTGCTCTAGGTCAGTATTTAGGGGGGTTTTGTGGGGTATAAATGTAAAAATTTCGCTAAAAACAGGTCAAAAGTTTTTCGCTTATAACTTTTGATCTAATTAAGATAGAGCAAAAAGAAAAGCACCAGTGAACTCAGCACGTCAAGGCGCGTCGAATGATGTACTTTTTAGCTTGCTTAAGTGTATTTAAAGTTTTTCTTAAATTTTAAGTAAACTTAAATTAATAAATTAAGTTCAAGTTAACCAAATTGCATCATATCGCATATCATTCGATTCGGCTGATCACCAGGAACACAATGATACCATTTTTTAAGCTCTAGCGTCATTATGTGCCAAGTTATTGGCGAAAACGTCATTTGACCTCAGTTGACCTCATTTTTGACCTGACCCATGGATAAGTACACCAAACAAAGAAGCACCAAGTGACCTGCTGTTAAGTACTGTGGTTTCAAAGCACAAAAGTGATAGAACGAAGCGGATATCTCCAGTATTTTCCGAATTTAGTATTTTCCCATAGGCTTAACATTACGACGTAATGACCTCTAACTGACCTCAGGTCAGTGACCCCAAAAAAAGAACGGAATATATGTTATACAACTCGGTGAACTTAGTACATCCTGAAAGTTTGAAGGAAATCAGTCCAAAACTGTGAGTTGGACAGGTGCAAAAAGAAAATTGAAATTTGACCATGACCTTGTACCGGTTTTTCTAACCTGGTGACCTGACCCAAGGTCACCCGGACCTGAAATTTTCAGGTCATATGTAAAAAGGTTGCCCCATAGGCTGTGCCAAATTTGGCAGCGCCGCCGTTTTTACGCTATCTTCGAAAAACCTTAGGGGGGGGTCGCATCGACCCCCCCCCCTGCCAGGGCGAGGGTTAATAGTTATAATCCTACACAGAAAGAACAAACACAAATACATGTTAATATCATGCTAATGTCCCGTCTTGAACAATCGACCACTTCAATTCAATAACAGATTTTCTGTTTTCAGGTTCAACAAGAGCTTGAATGAGTGCGTTATGAGCGGCGACCCTGAATGCGCAATGACAGACACATACCTTCATAAGGGCCCCAAGGGTAATGAGGTGTTTCAACCCATGACGTCCTTCTTTTGCGGCCACGAGCCGGTATGCAGGTGAGAGCAATGCGCAAATAATAATGTCCTGTTTGTATGCGGATGACAAAATGAGTACATATTATTTTCTGTGGGTGTGCAGGTGGGGAGATGAGCAAATAATTATGCCCTGTATGTATGCAGGCGAGCAATGAACATTGACGACGTAATTATGCCCTGTAGGTGAACAGTCAGTGTAGGTAGATAGGTAAATGTTGGCATTTAGCGTAAATGCTCCGATTAACAACCCCCTATGCTTAAACCCCGCTGCATCACAGCCTGTCGGTTGATTTACACTGCGAAAGTCTTTTATTATTCTTAACATTTTTCTACACATAATCATTCTCAGTTTGTACGTAGGTACCCTTCGCCATAACGTCAAAATTTGAGATCTTGCAACCTCTTGCAAAAACGCAACTAGGGAGGTTGTTCCTTTTTTGCGACCTAATTAGGTATATTGTTTACTGGCGATGCGAATAAGGTATTGGTTTAATGACTCTTCGGGTATATGCATATTATACGGATGAAATATGATGAAACCAATTATAGTTAGCTAAGGACTTATATTCTATTATTGACGACATAATTTGACATCAGTATGAATGCAGGCAGAAAACGATTGAAGTATCAGCAAAAAAAAAAGAACTGGCGCATAAGGAAGTTTAAAAGTTTTCCTTAAACCACGTCCCACTGGGTGGGGGCTATTTTCAGCCCCCCCCCCCTGTCATTTTCTGTGATATTTTCTAAACCACTGGACTTATCAACACAAAACTCTCAGTACATAGGTACCTTCAGCTGCATCACTTCGACATCTTATGTTAAAACACAAATTTTGTACCACAGATCGGCCGGAAATGACGTCAAAGTGACGTCATGTTCGACCGATTTCAATGCAAAACATTAAACTACGACAATGGCTCTCAAGAGCTTAGCTTTTGGGCTAGATTCTATTTATTTGCATTAGAGGACTGAGAATACAAAGTCCTATCGAACTATTATCTCGGATTTTCAAAATGTTTAAAATATTGAAAACAATTAATTTTACAAATAAAAAAAATGTATGTTTGCAATATTTTCATACAGGTCTTTGACTTTTCAAGAAAAAAGCTGGAATATATGTGATTGAACACACATCGATGAACACTCTAGGCCGTTTTAGCACGATTTCTTCAAAAAGCTAAATTATACGCATAGGCGGCGGAACGGGAGGGGGTGGGGGGCACCGGGACACCGGGACACAATGCCTCCTTTGATTTTGGTATTTTAATCTTATACACTATACAAGTACACCGTATACACTCCTAAGATGGAAAGATGCGCGCATTTCCATAGTGTAATATATAGCTCAGTTTTCCATAGTGCAGTAAAATAAAATAGTTATTTATTACACTATGGCATTTGTTAGGCATTCTATAGAATGCCCGATTCAACACATTGCCAGTAACAAGTCGCCTTGTTTTCAGGGAGTTCAACAACAGGGTAGCCCTGCAGAGGGCACTTGAGAACCTGGAGAAGAAGTACGCGGTCGTGGGCATCTTAGAGACACTGGACAGATCTCTGCAAGTCTTTCAAGCCTTCGTGCCTATGTACTTCCGAAATGCTGTCAAACTATTTGGCAAGTCTCCCTGTAAGCATAGTAGTTCCTTGGACTTTCCTCTCGAATAGCCCTCCACAGGTTATGACACTACATTATAGGCATTGCAGTCTTCTATATACCGCGCATAGTGTATACCTGTGCAGTGTGCAATGTGTATACTATTATGTTTTTTTATCATTTAACTCACGACTAATATTCATTGTGAAAGAGAACTGTCGAACAAAATGTATTTAGTCTTTTAAAGGTTTTCGAAGCAGAATAACCCGATGCCGGACTTTATTTCAGTGAAATCGAACACGAACCAGCACGAACCGGCCACAGCGGCTGTAGAAGAGGAGCTGGCGAGTCGCCTTTGGGCTGATATCGAACTCTACAGGTTCGCCGAGCAGCGACTCTACCTGCAGTACCGCAGCATAGGGGGCCGCGTACCTCCAGGAGCCAAGTCTTAGTTGTGTTGTCGCAGCGTGGGGACTGAGTGGCTCCGTGAGCACTACTACGGCTGCATTATCGCAGCATTAGGGTCGAGGTGCTACCGTATATCGTCTGCTCATATGGCCATCCTTTCCTGCCTACGATGTGATAATTTTTGATAACGGCCACGTAAAAAGCTGCAGGTAGGGGCCAGGCGGCCTCATTTGTGAGTGCGGAAACTCAGCCAATGATATAACTAGTAGCTACTATGTATATAGGCAATGTCAGACATGGCATAGACGGGAATCGGTGTCACGCAATGTGTTGTAATAATGCTGTCAATAAGGCTGCGATAATTACGTCGCCATGCGTCGTTTTCACCGCTAGTCAGCGATCATTACGAGCGAGCGAGCGCAGCGAGCGAAGCGAAGTCTTTTCAATATAACGGAAAAATCTCAGTATGAGCGGCCCGGCCCGGCCCGGCCCGGCCCGGCCCGGCCCGGCCCGGCCCGGCCTGTAACGCTTTTGAGAGGCTTATATCTCAGCAACCGCTGAACCGAATGACCTGCGGTCTTTTTTGCTGGGTAGCCCCATCCCTTCTACCCCGTAATTGACTACTTTTGATACATCTCAGTGACCGCCGTGGCACGTGCCACGTGAAAAGTCAAGGGTGTTCAAGCAGTTTTGCAAAATTAATGATTTTGAGAGGCCCATATCTCAGCAGCGGCTTGAGCGATTGTCTTGCGGTCATTTTTATAGGGTAGCTGCATCCCTTCTACCAAAGGTCGGATACTCTTCATCTATGTGAGTGACCCCCACTGCACGTGCAAAATACAACAATAAGAGGTGCCAAATTTGTTCCCATTTCAGTAACTCGGTAATTACTGGGGCGATTTCGCTGAAACTTGGCATACAGGTAGGCACCCACCAGGCAATGCATTCCCATGTGTTGCGGTTAGGGTGCTACTGCACGTGCGCACGTGCAGGGGGCGTTTCCAGATCTCGAGAACGGCTGGGCCGATTGCGCTCAAATTTGGTACACGGTTGGGGACCGGTTAGTAGGGTGCCGTGCAAAAGTCATTTTGGACCCCGTCTGCACGTGCGCACGTGCAGAATGCCGCTTCCAGATCTCAGGAACGGCTGGGCCGATTGCGTTCAAATTTGGCACACCGCTAGCGACCAGTTAGAAGGGTGCTTTGCACAAGCCCGTTGGAAGTACCCTCTCGCCCTTCTGCACGTGCAGGGCTCACTATCTCGCTCGCTCGTTCTTCGCCCAAAAGGCGTTTTACTGGTTATATAATTTCCAATATCATGTCATCCTAGCGGACAAACACTTTTTGATGACAGTTATGTTGTGCGCAGGTTATAATAAGACAGGGTGGCATATGCATTGTAATTAGGCTGGGTTTTGGATGTGAGGTGGTTGGACTGCGAGCTGAAAGCGAGACAGATCTAAAAACGGCGACCGAGCGGTCGGGTTCTTCTGGTCGTCCCGGCGTCGTGTTTAGCTCGATGGGGGGCCGCGAGCTTGTGCGTGCATGCATTCATCTATATCGCGCTCAAAGGGTTACATGCCCCCCCCCCCCCCACGGGCCCGTGGTGCAGCCTGCTCCAACGGCAACCTTCAAAGCAGGCTCTGACATTGTTCAACCGAGTAACGACGAGCTGAAGATGTAGATAGATTGAGGCGGCCTTGGTTGTTTATCGAAGAACTTTCAATATGCATTATGGAATATGCATGCCTTTTGTATGTGTAGTTAGGTATATGTATCAAGGCCAGAAATTTGCGATGTGATAATAGGTGCATTCAGTCGATATTTGATAGCGGTGATTTTTTTTTTTTTGTTTGTATCGGGATTCATTGAACGAATTGGACGTGCGGGGTGGAATGAGCAATTATGTTTCAATAAACTGGTGATGTTGTTTACTGCGAAACGTTAAGCACCAACGCAGTACCTACGCACCCAACTACTAGTGAAAAGAAACCCGCGCCAGTGGACACCCCCGCCTCTGACCTCAGTCATTTGGCTTTTGAGATACTTGTTGGTTTCCGCAAAATAGGTACTGTAAACAGGGGTAACTTTGCCACGTCTTCAACTTTGGACGCTTGTATATTTAAGACTTACAAACTTATTGGGGTGATTTTGCGTAAGCAATAAGCAGCATGCAAATATGTTATTCATAATGACGCCCTGAGTGGTTTAGGTTTGAACTTTTAACACAATATGATGAAAATATGACCATAAATCGAACTAAAAATTGAAATACAAATATTTGCAAAACAAAACTTAGGTAGGGCCAGGCCGAAGACACACTGCTAGTGCTAATGGTCAGAATCTAGGTATAAGAATGCACAAGCTAGAGCAGTAACACAGGATGGTCGTCATTAGCATAAATCAACAGCACCGCGCGGATGGCTGCCGTTTCGGTGCACACTGTTGTCGGTACACCTGCAGCTCGGGTGCACGGCGCTGACGCCATCGACAAGCCCGCGCCGCCCGATGGCCGTATATGGTCATGTGAGCGGCGGCCGGTGAGCGGCGGCTGAGTCAGCGGGTCAGGCCGGGTCGGCACGCGGGCCGCGACATCCGCCGGCCCGGTGAAACTCGGAGCGTGGAGCAGAGAAAAACTGGGAACGGAGCCGCAGCGACGGCACGGGACGGGCGAGGCTTTGTCGAACACCGGGAGAAGGGCAGAGCCGTGTGCGATGTGTAAGCAATGAACGGAACGGTTAGAAGAGATGAATATTCTTTTTTTAAGGAGCAAATAGCGATGTTTGCGCTGACAAACAAGTCTTTTGATAAACATTCTTAGCAGAACAAACTGAATTTTCATTTAAACATTCTATCCCAACGCTACAATTCATATCAGACCATTGTCTTCCTGCATTGGAAAGCTATCCTATACTGGGTTCGCTCAACATTCACCCAATTTGCACCTGCTAACCCTACTGTCGCGTCCCAGGCTCTACTGATAGTAGCTTTATCAGTGAGAGCCTAAGAGCTGACGAGAGCTATCAGCTGATAGCCCCCCCCCCCCCCGGCGTCCGGTCGGCCCCACCTCGAAGCGTTGCCCGCCGGGAGACGATAGGAGTTTATCATAGAGGACTATATCCCGGTTCAATAGGAACGTCTGTATCGGCCGACAGTGGGAGTGGAGACAGGGGGCGGGGGCTGACGGCAGACGGACCGAGGCGTCTGGTAGGTAGAGACCGCTAATGGCCTCATCTTCCAACCACCGTCCGCTCCTTGAAAGGCACGCACATCGCATGCGATTCGTGGCAGCGAGTTGCTTAGTCAATACCCAGCGATGGAACCTTATTCAGCATTGGTAGATGTACTTTTCGATGTACTCGTAAACAATATCGATCTAAAAAAGTATATTTGAATTTCACGCACCCTACACGAAAAGATCGCGAGGCGGTAATATAAAATGATTAGTTGAACAACACAGCAGTGCTACTGGTGGCCACAGCGCAGGAATGTATCCGGATCGCCGCGTGTCCTGCGCTGGGCGGCGCTCTGGAGGGAGGGCACGCGCCACAGCCGGGCCACCAGCGCGCATCACCGGCGGCGGCATCGGCGGGCACCGGGCACCGCCCCTTACCGGACAATAAATACCTCACTCGTGTTAGTCGATACAGGCCGGACCGTCCGGCCGGTGTTCGCTGATTTGATCCGAGCCACGGCCGCTGGAGCGGTGTGACAGTGTCCATAGTCCGCGATATACCCAGCTGCAGGTCGTTGCATAGCCGGAAGAACAGGCAGCGAATCCTCAAACGAGCCGTCAACGGGGACCGAATCTAGGCACGGCTAACGGTAGCTGACGAGAAACCCGACAGCCGACGGTTTACATTATCATGGACTGTCGTCAACTCATGAAAAAAATGTGCGGGTGATACAAAGAACCTCATTTACTGGCAATGACCAGATAACGCTTTGCAATAACTTATCTTAGTTCGTAACCACATCGTCCTTAGGTACCAAAAAAGGCAAATATTGGTGAAGAGCGGTCCCGACGCCATTCAAAAAGTTACCACTTCGCCAGTTCGTCCACGGAACCACCACTACAGCAGCAAACGCGGGTTTCTCGGTATGAAAGCAGCAGCATTGACACTTGCGCGGAAGGACGGGTCTCGACAAATTCCGGTAATGCGGCAGAGTGACCGCGTCACTCCCTATCCACTCAGCACCGAGTGCACAAACTCCTCGTAGTTGACATTGCCCTGCGAGTCCTCGTGGCCGGTCATCAGCTGTTCGACCTCCTCATCGGAGAGTTTCTCACCTGCGGGCCCGACCCGGACGTCAGATAGGTAGCGTCGGTACCGAGACGACGTCAGACTACGCCGGTATGTACGTACCTACAAGGCCAACGGCAAATACCCAGGCAACGCCAGACAGCTCAGGCCAACGTCAAAACGTCTGATTAACGTCAGACAACCTTCCACCGTCAAACTATGACAGTAAATACTGTCGGTAAAAATATATACCACACCAAACCAATGATAACTACGTTGATAACCGTCGGATAACGCTGAACAATGCCAGCGAACGCCTCTTTGTAAGACAGAAACGGTACCACGTGACCTGGAGATGACCCAAAGTGACCGAAAGCCATTGCCTGCTGTCGCATGACAGAAGTAGAAGCGAGGACGGCTATAAGTTATAGCGTGAGTGTCTGGGAATTTTCGTGACCGGTCAAAACAAATAGTCATTGTTAAAACCTATGCCCAAGAGAGCGCAAAAAAGCACGCTCGGTCATGTTCCTCATCCCAGCTGCTGTGATGCAAGCCGAGCTCAGGGCTAAGACGCATCTCCCACCCTCATCCCAAAGTCCTCCCGCCAGCCCCTATCCCGTCACTCACCGAGCGTGGTCAGCAGGTGGCGAAGCTCGGCCGACGAGATGTAGCCGTTGCCCTCCTTGTCAAAGTGGCGCAGACCCTCGATAAAGTCGTCGGCAGTGTCGGCCGACTTCTGCTTAGTGATGGTCTGCATGATGGGCAGGAACACCTCGAAGTTGATCCGGTCCTCTGGAGAAAGGGGACCACAAAAGTTGGTCACTACCTGCACACGACCCACCAGTCTTTGGATCAATCCACCTTCTCATGCCCCGACTGCAGAAAGCTTGCTGTCTCACTTGATAGCTGGTGTTCCATGTCAGCTGGAGTTTGTGGGATGCTCCAACATCTTCCTCTAGCTCCATTCCTAAGCTATCTAGCGAGGAATCACAGCTGCAAAAACTGTGTCTCTACAAAGTCTCATGTTAGGAAATCACACTTCTGACTTCTTCCTTCCCAAATGAACTCAGTTGGCACCAGCTGGTGGACTCACCTGGCCTGTGAGACTGGCAGAGTTTCTTCACCTCGGCCTCTGTCGGGTTCTGGCCGAGCGCGCGCAGCACGTCGCCAATCTGTGCCACGTGAATCTGACCATCACCTTTGTTGTCAAAAATCTGGAAGGCCTCCTGGAACTCTGTAAAAACGGTATGATGCTGTGGGGTAGGACTAGCGACCGGGATGTCCAACCAGTCCAGAGTCAAGATAGTGGAATTAGGCAAGCAGAAGTGGTTTCAAAATTTTGGTAATGGTGCCCGTCTCTGGTTGCATCTCAAGATTTTGAATGAGTTAGAATCCTTATTCACATACTTTGCCAGCACACCTTTTATTATCAATTGTAGCTGCTCTCAAAAGAAACAGTAGCAATCCATTTGATGGTTTACACATTCAACACAGAAAATGCCAGACCACTCACCAGCAATCTGGTCTTCATTGTAGGTAGCCTGAAACAAATGAATTCAATTTCAATGACACAATAATCCACAGGTGATAAGTCTATGCTTATTTCAGGACACCAATAGGCCTATAAGCAAGGCTAAGGTCTTAGAATGTTCACAAAATGGCATCAGCAGCCTACAGGTCCAAAAATCCTTCAATGCTGATGGTGTTTTTAAAGAAAGAAAAAAATAGATGTTGATATGAGCTATTTAACATTCTGGAAACCTGCATTTCTTTGTTCAATATAAGATCTCTTTTAAGCTTTTCCTCCAGATAGTGGGAGCCAGCAGCTTGCCGAGGAAATTAATGGGGAAAGGCAATACTTTATATATTTGAATACTCATGATGAGCTTCTGAAAACTATAGGGTCTGTTCCCGTCGCTCCTCCCAAAAAATCTCGGATGAGGTTGGATGAGCTTGGAGGAGAGCCGTTTCAGAGGAGCCACGGGAACATTTTTGCGAGGAAATCAGCTGTTTGCGGGTTGTAACGGTCGGCGATTTATGGCGCGCAAACAGTAATTTAAAGTTAACAATCTCTTTCTAATAAAATAACCATATATTTATATCGAGCATTACTATTAAAAGATATCCCATCCTCATCGATCACTAAAATCAATTCCACTTCCCTCAAATCTCATTTATAAAAAATTCACATTTGTATTACGTGCGCCAAATATGTCTACGCAAGAGCCTCCTCCAAAAAACCAACTTTCGTTTTGGATGAGGGAGGAGGCAAATAGTGGTGGTGAGATGTGAAATCAAGATGAGCTTGGAGGAGCGACGGGAACGATTTTTTTAAACGAGAGGAGGTTAGAGGAGCTTGGAGGAGGTTAGAGGAGCGACGGGAACAAACCCATAGTCTAGATGCAAAGCATCCAAAAAATAAAAACAAAATCAAATCAAACTTTGTCCTTTGACTCAAGGACTTTGAGAAGTAACTTAGTGCAAAATGGAAGAAAATGAATACAATGTCACTTAGCTAAGATGCTTACCATTTTCATAACTTTTGATGTTGTATGCTAAAAAGGAAGCAAACAAGTTAGAGTTTCCAGTTCAGGCAACAAACACCACACCCGTCTCAAAATACAACGTATTCGCAATGCGACGAACAACAACGGTTTATGACCACTCCCTAATCTTCATCAAGGTTATGTCTTTTACTGTCTGTCGAGCATTGGATGTCAGTCAAAAATGCTTATTACGTCATTACCAGTCATCGTAAAGATTATCATTTTTTGGAGAGAATTAGATATTAATTTGGGTAGGTGTGAACAGCTTGGGTAAGATTATTGCATTGTTTTGTTCAATTACTCACATGAATACTTAAAATTGGCCTAGCTTGCCGCACATTCACTGTCCAGTGTCACTTTGGTAGGTATCTAGTATTTTCCTGGCGTTTCTAATCTAAAGCCTGCATAGTTTATATTTCATTGATTCAATTCATTACACAAGCGATGATTCATTACAGTCATGTGTTCTTTGGTGAGCGCAATTACCATTTTCGGCCTGGAATAATCTCGGAAGCATTTGCTCGTTTGTCGAAAAGGGAAACGCAGCTATGACATCATTGACCCGACAAAACTAATCCAAAACTTCAAAATCAGTATTGCAGCCAATCTGACGCCTTGGAGACGATTGCTGTTAAAAAGAATAGCACTATTCCACTGCAAACCTTAACCCTCGCTCTGGCAGGGCATTTTTCACACGGCCTGGCGGGGGAGGGGGGTTGATATGACCCCCCTCGCGATTGGCTCCTATGGCAGTTGGCACCTAGAAACACCAAATTTCGTAAGAAGGTGGGCCCCCTGGATTTCTCGCCCCTGTGCGAATTTGGTTGCTCTAGGTCAATATTTAGGGGGGTTTTGGGGCATAGGCGGCGGAACAGGGAGGGCACCGAGGCACCGTGCCCCCCCCCCCCCCCATCAGGGCGCGGGTTAACCTTAGCCCTATGGGCGTTGCATGGAAAGATGGGACCAAAAGTCGGCAGTGCCCCCTTAACCCGCGCGGGGCTGGGGTCTCCAGCCGAACGCGCGGGGCTGGGGGTGGGTAAATTTTACCCCCCCCCCCCCCTGTTATCTCCCGAACTAATGGTCCGATTTGGAAAATTCAAACGCCAATCGAAAGATCTTATCACGAACAACTAAAAACATGTACTTAATTTAAAGTTTGAGCCTTGAGGTCAAGGTCAAGGTCAGGTCAAGGGTACAAATTGCAAGTTTCTACAGTATCGGCCTTGCACCGTAGTTGCCGAAGAATGGACTGAGACTGATTGCCCAAAACGTGTTCTTAGGCTACCAAGACAATATTCGCTACATACAGTATCATTCAGAGGTCAAGGTCAAGGTCAGATCAGGTCAGGTCAGGTCACCAAAAACAAAATATAGAAAAGGGCATGTACCTACGACACATGTTTTATGGGTCATTTTATTCATAGAAGTCAATAGGCACACTCAATAGGTGATATGGACCACATCTGGATGAATTTCAGGTCGAGGTCAGGTCAAGGTCAGGTCAAGTGAGGTCAAATTGTGAAGTTGGTTGTTAACCCGCGCCCCACTGGGGTCTGCGTATAACACGCCCTACTGGGGGGGGGCTATTCATAGCCCCCCCCCCCCCTCCTAACTCCGAAACTACTGGGCCGATCGTCAAAATTCAAACGGCGTCTGATAGCCCCGGAAAAACTGTCGAGCGAAACCTAATTTCATTGACCTCGAGGTCACCGATGACGTCACAGGTCAGGTCAAAGTAAAAATTATTAGCATTTTGCTTGTTCACGTTTTGGGCTCTGGTCGCCGTCTTACAAGTCAGATCAGGCTCATTTTTGGATCACACACTCGTGAACAGATGCTCTAGATACCCCGAGGGTACCAAACTTGTACTTTGATTTTCAGGTCAAGGTCAGGTCATCACAGGTCACGAAAATATTATATCATGCGTCGGTCACGTGACACATGTTTTATGGTCCATTTAGGCCAGAGATTTCGAATGTGATGTCGTCTGTGTCATTCGAGGTCATTTTGAGTCGAATTTAGCTTAGGTCAGGTCACTTTCAGGTCAAAAAAGGTCAAATTTTGAAGTTAAAATTTTTCAACAAAAAAAGGTGTCTATTGGATGCTGTTTGAGCTCAGGAACACGATGGTGCTATTTATATTGGCGTACGATGTCAAATACGTGCTGAAAAATTGATTTGAAAAATTAATAATTGTGAATTTTTTGCAATAATGAGTAAAACTTGGCCATTTTTGAAGATATTTAGCTAAAACTTGCTAGAGTTAGTCATAATACTGCGTTCTATCACATATATTCCGGTTTTTTCGAAAAGTCAAAAACTTTTTGAAAAAAATGTAAAAATATAAATTTTGGATTTCATTATATCAAATTTTCGAAATTTTCAAAATTTCGAAAATCCGAGATAGCAGTTTGATAGCGCAGTCTATTCTGAGTCCTCTCATGCAAAGAAATTGGATCTAGCTTAAAAACTGAGCTCTTGGGAGCGATTGCCGTGGTTCAATGTTTTGCGTCGAAATCGGCCGAACATGACGTCACTCTGACGTCATTTCCGGCCGACCTATGGTAGCTACGAAGTTAAAATTTTGACACAAGGTGTCAAATTGATGCAGCCGAAGGTACTGAAAGTTTGGCGTCGATACGTCAAGCGGTTTGGAAGTTATTGCAGAAAAACGGGAGGGGGGGGGGCTATAAATAGCCCCCCCCCCAGTGGGGCGCGGGTTAAGGCCTAAAAAGGTGTCTATCTGATGCAGTTTTTCACGGCGAATCGAATGGTGCTATTTTTGTTTCCGTATGAGGTCTAGAACTTCCAAAAAAAATCATTTTTTTTTCAAAAAATTTGTGTTTCGTGACGTCATGAAATTTTTAATAACTCCCACATTTTTGAACCGATTCTTCTAAAAATTGATATATAGGTGCACATAAACCACATCTCTGACATATATTCCGTTTTTTTCGATACACTCAAAATTTTGGATTTTATAATTATTTTCCCAAAAAAGTTAGTTTTTTTTAAATGTTGGCCAAAATCCAAAATTTTCAAAAAACCGAGATAGCCATTTCATAGACAAGGTAGAATTACGTATAACCTTTTTGTTACTTCTTGATTCCTTTAAAAATGAAGATATTAGCGGCGTTTGAAATTTTGCCGTTGAGGCGAAAATGGCGAACATGACGTCACTAAAACGTCAATTTCTCAAAAATTTTCCGACAGATTTCGCTCAAATTTTCAGAGAACGTGTCAAATTGATGTAGGAAAAGGTACTGTTGTGTTGCATTAATGTAAGTAATGCAGCACAATGTGTTGTCCTAGTTAAACCTGTGTTCGGTGCATTCTGTAGGTATTCGGTTATGTTGCCGCGCCGCATCCGCCAGGTCTAATTCCGCCGCTCTAAACCGGTCACGTGACCGGCCGTGGTCGACCTCGGGTCGCGCGCCGCGGCGGCTGGGCAGTCGTGTGCGGGGAGCGCGGCCGGGCGGCTCGCTCTGGGCCTCGGGTACCGAGTACAGTGCGACCGCGGACACTTTGCCTCGGAGCGCCGAGCTGAGTGTCTGCCGCGTGGCTCGTACCACCCAGCCTCGGGCGACCGAGCTGAGTGGCTCTCGCGGGGCTTGCGCCGCTCTGCCTCGGTGACCGAGCGGAGTGTTTGTCTCCACCCGCGCTGCTCGGGGCGCCGAGCGGACTAGTGAGTACTGTACTGGACAACGTGTGACAGCTAAGTATTTGTTTCGCATTTATATTTGTTCCGCAGTTGTTATTCCCGGGGTCGGAATACACCTCATATCATTCTTCAACTGGTTTCTCACCCAACGGGATCCAATGTAACAGTACTGAAAGTTTGGCGGCGCTGCGCGCCGGCGTTTTTGAGTTATTGCAAAAATTCGCGAGGGTGGGTAAAATTTACCCCCCCCCCAGCCCCGCGCGGGTTAATTGAAGGTGTTCCGCCGCTTCTGTTGCAGGCATAGAAATTGTTGGCTTTACGGAGTTTCCTATTGTGTGTTTGAATTTGAAAAAGGCATTTAGAAGCCGACCGACCGAAAGCCCCGACAAAACGGGAGGGGATAACCCTCCACAGTCCACTCCGTGGACTGGGAGAAGAAGTCCCTCCGTCCCCTCCCCTGTGGCGCCGCCCTTGCCCACCGGTCTCTGATCAGTCCGAATTTCATAAAATGATAAAGTACCTGAGGTCTTACTTGTGTACGCCGGTCGAGCTGGGTACCATCACCATTCTTAATTTAACCCGCGACCTGGTGGGGGGGGCTATTTTTTGCCCCCCCTCCAGACTTTTCAATATATCTCCAGAACCGCTGCGCCGATCGTCACCAAACTTTCAGTACCCTCCCAGACATCAATTTTACACATTGTGACCAAAAATTTTTTCCAAAGGCTATGATAGGTTGGCCGGAAATGACGTCAGAGTGACGTCATGTTCTGCCGTTTTCGACCCAAAAAAGGGTTTCGCGGGAAGAGCTGTCAGGCCTATAGGTTTGCAAATATGCAGAAAAACGATAAAGACATAAAAGCTGTAGATTAGACAGGGCTACAAAACTGCTATCTCGGATTTTTGAAATTTTTGGATTTTGACCCCCAAAAATCAAAAAATAGATTTTTTTGATAAAATCATCGAAAAATCCAAAAAGTTTTTTAAATTTCGCAAAAACCGGAATATATGTGATAGTCCTTACCGCTTTCCATCCACATACCAAATTTGAGATTGGTACCGCTTTTTTGGCGAAGTTATAGCGAAAAAACTGTTCAAAATTGATGACGTCAAATTTTCAAACTCAATTTTTAGCAATTCTAGACCCCGTAGCGCAAAACAAAGACCACCATTAGACTCCCCGTGACGAGCTGCATCTCAATACCCATTTTATGCAAAACTATCAACTTTAAAATTTGACCTTTTTTGGCCTGACCTTGACCTGACCTTGACCTGAACTTCACCAGAAAGTGACCTAAGCCGTACCTGATAGTCTTATAACCAACACCATTGAGTTGGAAATGAAAAATTGGCCATAAAACATGTATCACACAACCTTAGTAAAGTTGGGCTCATGTGACCTGACCTGTGACCCTTGGTGACCTGACTTGTGACCTGACCTGGTATTGCCAGTGACCTCTAATAGCAACATATCCACTAGGCAACTGACGCC